ATTAGAGATAAACTCAATCACTTAAATTCACATAGAATAACACAAAATATAATAGTCCAATTAAAACAAACTATTTAAATTAGGAGAAGTAATCCAAAATATATTAATTAAATATATTTATAGAGCATCTAAAATACACCAACTTTCTTCTACTAATATATGCTTCATTAGATATCTTATTTTAAATTCTCTTTATCTTATAATAGTTGCATAGTAAAATATGATTAGAGAATTTTACTAATATACTCCACCTTAACCTTATCTTTTCTTTTCTTGTAAAAAATAATTATAAAAATCTAGTGAGCTATGAGATTCAATAAAATATGTAATTCTAATCCATAACTTAAATACTCTTATAATTAAAATATGCAGTATCAACTAGCATCATTTCTCATAATCATTGTAAAGGTAAATTATTTGAACAACCATTGACCCAATAATAAATAAAAAAGTTTTCCTACTAAAAACCAAAAAAACATGAAATCCTGGGGGTTCCTCTCCCTGCAATACAACTCTACGCAAAAAAAATGGAAAAATGAATAACAAATAAAGTAACTCCAAAATACATGTGTCCCAACCAAAGTGTATACCAATCGAAAGATGTATACCCCATATAGACAAGTAAAAGAAAAAGAAAGCAAAAAACTACAATGGGAGTTGTATGGCCAAAAATCCTCATCCAAGCAGTTGTGGCTTAAGAAATCGAAAGAAAAACCACAGACAATGCATCCAGATAGTAAGGGTCCGAAAGCTCATGATAACTGCAGCTCCAAAACAATGAAACAAAATCTGTAAGAGCATCAAAAGAGACAGCCAGTGAAAACCTGTGAGAAAACCTGCACACGAAAAAGTCATCGAGTGGCAGAAGATCAAGCTCTAATATATGAGGAATCCAATTATCCCTAAGCAGGAATTGCCTTAACATATATGGGGGTGGAGGCCAGCAGAGATCATTGCATGGCCCATTTTAGACAAATAGTCAGTTGGAGCATTACCTTCCCTATGGATGAAAGAAAAATGAACCTGCAAATAATGAATAGATAACAGATGTCAGATTCGATTAAACGGGTAAAGTAAATACCATAGGGGAGCAGTGCTCCTAGTAAGCATATTATAAATCAGCATTGAATCAGTTTCAATGATCAGGTAAGTGAAGTTGTAAATCACAGCGATCTGAACAACAAACAAAATAGTCCACCCTTCAGTTTCAATGGGACTTTGAGCATACACAGGAGAGGTAAAGTAACAAATTAAGTTCCCAAAAGAATTTCTGAAAATACCACCCGCACCAGCAAAATTAGGAGTCCAGCTCCCATCAATATTGACCTTGACCCAACCATGTGTAGGGGGTTGCCATCTAACAAGTAGAGGCCTTCCATGCAGAACTAGTTAATGAACTTCCAAAGCTATGTAAAGCTTTAAAATAGTAAGAAAGAATGTAAGAGACAGTGAGGGAAGGATTCGGTAGGGAATTTGCATGTTTATGCCCATTTCGGGCAAACCATAAAACCACTAAAGGGAATGAGACAAGGTTCTATATATCTATATAATTCTCAGCTATAATTTAAATACTCTTATAATTAAAATAAGTAGTGCCAACTAGCTTCTTTTCTCATAATCATTGTAAATGTAAATTATTTGAACAACCGTTGGCCCAACAAATAAATAAAATATTCCTAAAATAATTTAAGAGAATAATAACATTTTTAATGTTATAAATATTATTTCATTTATACATGATTGATATTAGGCTAGTTTAATTTTTCATATATTTTTTTATCTATATTATTATATTTCAATAATTACTTAGTGAGAACATTTTTTCTTAATTTAGAATATATCATGTTTTTGGGACTAAGTTTAAATTCCATTACATAAGAGCTCACATTTGTTGCCCAACTTACATAGTTTTCATATTCATATAAAGCTCAATTTTTTCGCCCATGTTTTTGCCCAAATTATATATATAGGAAGTC